AAAAAAAAAAAAAGAAAAAAGAAGCACCAAATCCAGTACAATGTCCTAAACGTCCTAGCAACACTTGACCTGCAGATAGACGGAAACGTAAGGACACAGGTGAAATCTAGGCTCTAATTATTGAACCATTCACACTTGCTGAGTTTTTGATGCTATGCCGGTTGTAAAAATGAGCACTTCTTATCTTAAATCATCACTAAGTTCCCCCTGACATCTGTTCATGCCATCAGCAGCTATCAGCAGCCATGGAAACTTGCAAGGGTCAAATCCATTCTATGTTTTGCTGATTCAGGCCTGAGACACCCTTAGAAAGAACCTTGGAAATAGGGACTCCTCAGACTCTGAAAGCAGGATAATCTGACTGAGTATTCACAGTGGATTGAAAACCTGAACCACCACCAGATTTAAGGCTACGTTGGGTTGAACCCCATAACAGTCCCACGTTAGGTACTACAGGAAGATAACGCATCCAATCTAAAATACAGCTTTACATTTCTTTCATAAGCTATGACAGATCAGAAGCCTTGAGAAAACAATATTTGGGTTGGGGATGCAACTTAGTTGGTAGAATGGTTGCCTAGCATGCAGGAAGCCTTGGGTTCAATTCCCGCACCACATAAAATGGGCATAGTGGTGCACACCTGTAATCCCAAAACTCAGGAGGTGGGGCAAGAGGGTTAGAGCTCAGGTCATCCTTGGACACACAGTGAGTGGGAGGCCACCCTGAATCAAAAAGAGAAAAAAAAAGGGGGGGGGAGGCAACACATTTTTCTATAATTTTTTTTTGTATTTTTGAGGGTCTCCCTGTAGCCCCAGCTAGCCTGGTACTCACTATGTAAACCAGGCTGGACTTGAACTCACAGAGATCCACCTGCCTCTGCCAACCAAGTGCTGGGATTAAAGGCGTGTATCACTGTGCACGGCACAAAGCATAGGTTATGACAGATCTTTATTTATATTCAAATTCCAGGAATCCAACCAACTTTTACTATATAAAATTCTT